CAACGGGGCCACCGGCGCCCTGCTGACGCTCAGCGAGTACAAGTGCCGCTGCCCGCCAGGCTGGTCAGGTGAGGCGGTGCCACCGCGTGGCGTGGGGACATGGTGACCCAGCCATGGGGGGAGAGGGACAGCCTGTGACGGGTTGCTCCTGGAAAACCCCCATGGATGGAGAAGCGCACTGCCTCTGATTTCGGCTTCCTCCAATGCTGGGGGGAAGGTGGGGGGACGGTCTGCAAACCCGAGTTGGGGCTTGGGAGGGTCCCTGGCTGGGTGACCTGCAAACGTCCCACAAGAGTGAGGGTTTTACCGCGGAGAAGTGGGAGGAATTAGTTGCACTCCCCGTGAACACAGTCCCAGAGGCCGGGTCTGCCGCCCCAGCACAAAGATCGCTCCCACCGAGTGCCTGAGCTGCAGTTTGCATCCTCATCCTCCCTCTCTGCCCTCCCCAGGCAAAACCTGCCAGCAGGCCGACCCCTGCGCCTCCAACCCCTGTGCCAACGGGGGCCTGTGCGTCCCCTTTGAAGCCCACTACATCTGCCGGTGCACCGCCGGCTTCCACGGGGCCAACTGCAAGCAAGACGTGAACGAGTGCAACATCTCGCCACCCATCTGCAAGAACAGTGGGACCTGCACCAACGAGGTGGGCACCTACCAGTGCTCCTGCAAGCCGGCGTACACCGGGCAGAACTGCGAGCACCTCTACGTGCCCTGCAACCCCTCGCCCTGCCAGAACGGGGGGACGTGCCGCCAGATTGGGGACACCACCTATGACTGCACGTGCCTGCCAGGTAGGGGCTGCCTCCGAGGGGGGGCACGGGGATAGGGGACCCTCCTTGTAGCACCTTTCCCCCACCCCTGCAAACAAGTAGTGCCCCATCTTCCCCCGAGTTGTGGCTCTGGGAGGGACAAAACGAGGGGCTTGCGGGCTCGCTGCGCCACGTGTGTCGGGGAAGACACTGGGCAGCGATGCCCGAAGAGGAGAGGTCATCTGGGGGCTTTTTATACTTGGTGATTCACCAAAATAGCTCTTCCAAAACAACTCTTTCAGCAGAGGCCCCTGTGCGGATGCTCATATTCCAGAATAAGAGTGCCTTTTTCCGCTTTAGCTTAATCCACTTCCAGAATGGAATAATTAGCCCGGAATAGCTATTTTGGAAAGTTTCCGAGTGCAAATGGAGTTGGGGAAGGGAGACCCTCTCCGTGCTCACTGCTGCTCCCTCCGGCAAGCGCCGGAGCAGCCCAGCCGAATTACAGCCTCTGAAATGAAGGGCTCCTGCAGGAGGGGGCCCAGCGGGGGCTGTCCTGGGAGCTCGGCACCCCGCACGGGAGCTCGGCACCCTGCGTGCCAGGGGAAAGAAAAGCGGCTGTGAAAGGGCCCCCTGACCCCAGCAAGCCCTTTCGCTTCTGCCCGTGGGCAGCGGTCTGCACTGTGGTCAGGGCAGGGAGCGGAAGGGGCTGAGTACGGCCCCACGCTCCCCCCGTCCCCGTGCTGGCTGGAGAAATGAAATAACAGAGTTTTCCTGCCAGCACAGCCCAGAGCCCTGCTGCCGCGGGTCCCTGGCTGGGTCCCCCAGGGACCCCGCTCAGACCAGGCTGTGTTTGCCGGGGGGTGAGTGCCATTTCTCACCCGAGGCTGCGGCAGACGTGGAGGGGACGCATCCGCCCTCCCCCTTGGAAGGAAGCTGTGGGCAGTGCTGAGCTGCCTGAGATGTCTCTTGTGGGGTTGCTTTGATCTCCTCCGGTTGCCCATAGCCCCGCAGGGGCTGGGGCAGGATGAGGGGTAGGCGGCTTCTGTGCCCTGCACCCTGGGCGGTGCTTGGCGTTACTCTGGGGAGCCCCAGCCTCCCTCCGCTGCAGCTCCTGCCCCACTGGCGCTGGGGACGTGGCACCGGGGTGGGGATGGGGTCTCGCAGCCGGCACAGATGTACCCGCATCCTGCTGGTGGCCCTGGCCAGTGCTGGGGGAAGACGCGTGATCCCCGCGGGGCAGCACGGGGGATCTCGTTTTGATCTCTAACACAAGCACAGAGCTTCAATCCCCTTCCCCAAAGCTTTTGGCTGCAACAACCCAGGAGACTCATTAACCATCCAAAATACACAGGATCCCTGCAGGATCTCTTCCTTCCCCTCCATGCCTGCTCACCCAGGCTGGAGCAAAGCTCCTGTCCTTAGGGGCGGCGAGGTGCTGGGGCTGACCAGGCGAGCTGTGCCGGGGAAGGAAGCCTTTCCTTCCAGGATGAGCGGGTGCAGCCGGGAGCTCCCAGGGGCGATGCTCGGCGGGAGCAGCTCCGAGCCCTGGCCTGGTGGAGCAGCATTGCCGCAGGGACGGGGCGGTGGCGGGGGCAGGAGGAGCGGTGCTGGCCCTGCCCTGCTGTTCTGCTGACGAAGCACTTTCCCTGGAGCAGCCCAAGCGTTGGGCACGTCGCAGTGAGCTATGGCCCTGGGGGAGCATCCTTACTGCGGGGTGCGGGGGGGGGGCATCGGCGCTTTCACGCCCAGCTGTGGCTTCATGGGCTGCTTCCAGGAGATTTGCATGCTGCAGGAGCTGGTTTGCCTCCCGCGGGGTGGCACGGCACGGCCCCCGCTCCAGGGGAATGGGGTGGGGGGGTCCCTCCGCACCTCCACCATGGCTCGCTGCAGGAGCTGCATGGGCTGGAGCAGAGGCAGGAGGGACCGGGGGCTGTTTCTCCTGATAAGAGGGTGATTGATACGCTGGTATGCAGCGCAGCAGACCTGAAACAATGTCCCCTTTTCATTCCCGGAGAGGCCTGGCCATACCGGGTTTCTTCAAGTTAAACTAATCTTAGCTGTTTTATCATGCCATCGCTGTAGAATGTAACCCTGAGTTTAAAGTAATTGCAGTAATAATTACTCATTCGGATGGTTCAAAATGAGTTAATCCTGGTATCTAGGACATTGCCAGTTACTGCTGCTCAGTCTCAGCCCAGCTGCTTAAAAATGAGGTGCAAATCAACGTTATCTGTTTTGGACTCCTACCAGCAATCGTAAATAGCTGTTGCTGCTCCTCGTGGGACGGGGCTGAGGCTACGGGGGGGGGGGCATGGCCCTTGGGAGAGAGTGAGAGGAGAACCCCCAGCTGGGCCAGGGTCTGGGGTCCCCCAGAGGATGATCCTGGGCACCCAGTCCCTTCCCCGTGGAGGCGGAGGTGATGTAGCGAGCTGCCTGCGTGGGGGAGCAGCCTGGTCTGGACCTGCAGAATGCCTCGGGGATTTTGGGGGGAGCTGCAGGTGCACACCGGCACTGCAGGGAAGCTGCCCTGGGCTGGCATTGCCATCCCAACCCCGAGTACCTGGGTGGGCTGACGCCTGACAGCGGCTGGGTTGGAGGCTTTGGGGGTCTTACAGTAAATGCAGCTCTTAACGCAGGTGGCAGTTAGAGGGGAACAGGGTGGCTTGGCAGATGCCCTAAGAAGGGCCTGGCTGTTTCATTTCTGCTGCAGCAGCGCCGGGGCGGCACGGTTTCTATGCGTGCCACGCTATCGGGTGGAGGCGATAACAGAAACCCAAGCAGCCGGGCTCACCGCAGGAGAGGCAGGGCGGGGGTAGCACCCCGGCCGCGGGGGGGGGGG